GCACACACACACACACACACACACACACACTGGGGAGAAAATCGACACAATTTCACCCTTTTCATACTCCATCTCCCTTACACACACACACACACACACACACACACACACATTCTCCTGAGAAGCCATTTCCCACAGTGAGTGAGTGTGTGCGCAAGCGTGCGTGCGTACATGTGTGTGTGCATGCGTGCGGACATGTTTGCATGTGTGTCTGTGTGTGTGACAGACTACAAATCCCTGACACGACCACTGATGGGAGCTTTACAGTAGAGCCTGAAGGGGACTCTGCCAGCCAGCTAGCACACCATACATAAACAAAGTGTAGTCTTTTTTCACGAGCGCACACACACACACACACACACACACACACACACACACACACACACACACACACACACACACACACACACATCCCTCTGTCATTCTCACCTTTTCCCAGGAGCCCCTGGGGGGCCTCTGGGATGCAACACAAAATGCCTTGGGTTTGTTTGAGTTAAAACTCGATAATATGAGCCGTGGCAATGACAGCACTACACATGAAATAAGGAAGGATTATGCCTCTTCATTCATCCACGGATTGTTCAAGGAAACAAAGAGAAATAGATTTGCATGTGCAATGATGTGCTTTCAATATGCACCTCTTTGTCTTTTTGGTGTCCAGTCAGAGCGATTAACAGTGGAACCTCTAAAGTTGAACATCCAAAAAGTGGTACGATGAGTTGAATCCATTTTTTCAGGAAAACTATCCTTCAACAGGTAAAACTTGGAGTTGAAATAGTCATTGCAATTCAGCAAATAAAACATATATACACAACTGTGGCTGTATGATTGTATTGCTTTGAAAGGACATCTTCAAGCCATTTCCTGTCTGTCAAGCGGGAGTTGTTTTACTTCATTTTACTTTTATTTCTATGTATTGTACAATAGCAGGCTTCTTGTTATACTTTAAAACATTTAAATAAGACTTAAAATGACGTTCTTTTGGTGGTGACTGGTTGAACCAAATTGGTTCACTTTTCATCATATGTGATGGAGAGATTTGTTTTGGAATTTGAACAACAGGGAAGTCAATCAGTGTCACAGAACAGATTGGGGATTGTGTCCAACTTTCACTTGTGCTGGGAATGCATTCAGGTATTCTTTTTTATCATTTGACATCAGATTGATTGAGACATTTGTAGTGGTGGCCAACTTTGTCGTCTGGTGACGTATTTTCCACATGCGCAATAATTATCGCCACACCGTGCCGATTGTTTATTTTAGCATTACAGGCCACTAACGTACGATCATTGTGTTATTATTTTTCATTAGAATATTTATGACTTTTTCTTTCCACATTGGCTAATTTCGATCTAATCTTCACGAATCACCTCTGTGCATCTAATAATTCCACATGACGAGGGGTCTCCTGGTTTATTGGCACATAGCAATTTAGGATGTAATGAGATCACACACCTCCAGGTAGGTGCTGCTCCTTCCCCTGCTTGGCTCATGCGTTCTGTGCGCTTATTACCATTTCATACTGACACCCCTTCTATTTGATTAAAAACTCCCCAAAAAGGATTTGTAGTTCCCTAAGTCCGCAAAGGAAATGTAATCTGTAGGAGAAAAAGGACCGAGTGCTATTGAATGTTGACTTAACCTTCCCAGTATTTGCACTGCGACGCAGCAATGCTTTGATTGGAAGACAGCAGCATCACTCAACCTCATTAGTCCCCGCGGGATCGAAATAGAACAGTAGTTCGTAATCGGTGAATATAATGAATGAACTTGCAACAAAATTAATCGACCTTAAACCTGCGACTGAGGTGGACCATCGCGGAAAAATGAGTCGGCGACGCTTCCACACCAGGTGGCTGGCCGCCGCGCATCTAGCACACACGCTTCAGTGGAAAAACTGTGATACCGTATCGGCTCTTGCGGTTCCACATACAATATGTTGTACTTTGTTATTTTATCATATATTTCCTCGTGTGCGGTCTATCGGTTTCACTGAAAGCAGTTGAATCACAATGAACTCACGTTGCATAACAATTTTGCATTGATAACATCAATATCTCCACATGGGAATTATGATGCATTAGCAGTTAGGTCAAATATATTCTTACTTTTATCCAGATTAAAATGTGCTCTTGTGCGGTTATGAAGTCATCAAAGGCACAGGCAAGCGAAAAGTTTTTTTTTTTTTTTAAGTGTCATTGTGAGGATGTGACACATTGTAGTAGAGGGAAGGGCAGTATGGTCAGTCTGCCATTACAATTAGTGTTCATTTCAGCCAGATTCAGGGAGATGTTTGCTGACTGCTGGGCATGCATTATGCATGAGTGTCCATGAGTCCATATGCACTTGGGCACACTTGTATGCCCTTGTGGAAGTGTATCGACCACCGTCGCGAGACATTACATTTGGGTTGCTGCAGTCTTCTCTTGCCGCATAATTGCTGATGTTACTCTGTGTAAAAATGCCCGATTTTCATCAAGAAGAGATTATTTCTGAAGAAAGCAAACTTATGACTTTATGGTAATTTTTGTGCAAGTCCAAGCCTCCTTTAGTGTGTTTGTGGCGTTCTGGCAAAGGTGACAATTTTGTGGCTGATAGTAGACTACATTTTATGCCTGCTGAGAGTCGGTCTAAGTTGTGGCGCAAGTTGTGTTACGTGATTTTGGTGAATTTGATTGGGGTACAGATAGATTTTGCTCTCCCGGTACGTGTACGGTGGATATCATTGTATTTCTGTACCATTGTAGAAATTAATTCAGCGAATGCATTATTATTATTATTATTAATGTTATCATTAATTGATTTTTAAAATCACCCCTCTAGCTGTGGGACAGCTATTGGGTCGGCGGGGGTGGATTGGATCACACATGGGCAAAAACGAACCAAGTGGAAGGCAGAACGCACCCACTTTTCAGCCTTGATCTGTCTGTAGTTTTCACTTTTTAGTATGCAAAGTGTTGAAAGTTTGCAGCTGCAGTAGTAACACAAGTCCCATTTTGCAATTCCACATCACATCAGAGCTATTGCTCAAGATGGATAAAAAGAAATGTACAGGTATATGACAATATATTCCATTGATATCTCTTCACAATCTAATATCAATTCACCAAATTCAGATATCACTCCCGCCGTCATCGAATGGCTTTCACATTTTATAGTAATATGTGTGTTGCATTCTGAAAGACCAACCCTACCCCAACTAAAAGTGGACAAGTTAGAATGGATAATTTTTTAAAATAAAATGCAATCAATAAATGGGTAATATAAAAAAAAGTGGTCACATTTAATGCTGCATTTTGATTTGACACTGTCAGAGTGGTATTTGTCGTATAATCTTGATTCAAAATATTCTAAACAGTTTTGGAGAAATGCAGTGCAATTCTACACTGCCAACTCCAACCACAATCACAAACTTGCTGTTACATCTCTAATGGCGTCAAAAAAGTACTATAAGTATTAGCTAAACTCCAGAACTGAAAAAAAAGAAAGACTGAGAACCTACACAGACAAGAAGCATTCTCTGGAAAGTCTCACTGGAGGTTCCGGTGTACCTAATGTTGTGTCCCGATGTGTGCGCTTATCAAAGGAAATCGCGATTCCTTCTTCGAGGTGACTCTTTAGTGCCGCCCGAAGAGAAGCTTTATAACTGCAGGACTAAAATCAGGCAAGGAGGAGGGAGAAACAAAGTCAGTCACGGTCATGCCCACGAGACACTTTTTTTTCCTTTTTTTTTTTTTTTTTTACACGTCCACGCTGTCTTTCACAATTGTGCCTCACGTGACTCCAACTCTGGATCACAGAGTTTGCGAAGGAGGGGATTTGTTTACTGGCGATGCTTAATAAAGCTTAAAATGGTTTTCAACGGTGCGAGCATCATTCAATTAAAACGCATTTTCATCCACCCCCACCTCTTATTTAATTAGACTGTCTTTTTTTTTGTCTCCTCGGTCTTCACCTCCAAGGCATATTTTCACTTTTACTCGTTGGTTAAACAAGGGGCGTGGTGTCATTTTTTTTAATTGAGACAATTACGCACGTGGCGCGTAATGGTCACGCGGGTCTCCAGGCACGCATCACTCACGACTCTATTGACCTGTCAAAATAAATAAATATATACATAAAGAAATAAATACCAATAATCCTACTAGGGGTGGGGGGGATTCACGTCTCGCTAATAGAGAGCCAAGAGAGGCGAAATGCATACAAAAGTGTAGTTGTGCATCACAGCAAACTGCAACAAAAATCATGCACATTTTATTTCTAAATTACTTCAAAATAAGCATTATGTGTACGATATTGAAGCCAGTGGTGGATCTATTGTTGGAACATTTTGTCACTTCGGTCATAAAGAACTCATTTAAAAGTATATTCAGTGTTAACATGTATACTTATACTCATATTTTAAAAAAGGTTTTAAAGACATGAGAATGAATAGTTTTGTGTAAATCACTCTAATCTTGCGAACACCACTTTGTATGATACCGTGCATTTGCACAGCATTGCAAACTATAACTGCAATCAAATATTTTAGTTTCATGAGTTTCTACCTCTGCCAGTTTAAAAAAAAATCTTTATGTGCAGAGAAACCATTGCATCTATTTAGTGGAAGCTATCCAAACAGACTCATCTGAAAAGAAGAAAAACTACATTTTTTTCATCATTTTAATCACAGATAAAGGTTCAAATAATTCATGTTTTTTTTTTCCTTCCAATTTGTCAAAATATAATGAGTGAGGAACATGTTGCCATAGCGATTAATTGTCCCTTTGTATGTGTGCACTTTAAGGAGGGAGAGAAAAGCACATCTTTGTATTGGACGTGACTGGCAAAGACCCCCATCCCTGGTACACCACCGTGGCGTTCCGGGATTACAGTGACGTCACGCCGCTACCCTTGCATGGATGAATGCTAAAGAACTATAGAGGCACAAATAATAGCACAAGCACAGTCCATATCTTGCAAGACTTACGTTATCCTTTAAGCCTCCTTCGCCGAACATAACATTTTTTTCCCCAACTAATGACGCTTAATTTCATTTCTCATCAGATTCACGGAGGGGATTATTCATTCGTATAAAACAATCTGCGGCAAAGTCTCCCCTCCTATATGGGCGAAAGTCATGTATTATTGAGAAGGGCGAAGAGAAAGGCCGTGCGCGCGTGGAAATGCGTGGAAGAGCGCGGATCTGAAGTGGAATTGGGAGCAATCGATCCGGGCTGCATGAGGAGGAATTATTGCTAATGGTTACAAAAGAAGGCGCGATGTCTTTCTCTCAGTTTGGATACCCTTATAACGCAACTTCACAGGTAAGAGTTTTTCCTCCCCCTTTTTTTAACCCTTAAAAAATGACAACATATTTCCTCGACGTAAATATTTCTCTTATTTAAAATGTGTGATTTTGTTGACTGTCCCCACCCTCTGCTTTTTGCTTTGTAGTTGTTGTGCCAAATATTGACATACACGTGCTCGTGTCCAATAACACTGAATTATGAATGAACTCACGTGCTGTCTTTTTTTTTTCTGGTGACAAAATCGAGATTGATGTCACCCTGCGTGGCGCGCCATGCGTAATTACGCATCTTTCTGATGAAATTAATGATTCAGGAGTATGTAACTGTGGCCAAAACTCTCCACTAACTCCTCATTGTATGTTTCCATTTAGAGTTTGGATGGGGAAAAGTTAGTCACCGGAAAGTTGTGAGCTCTTTATTTTCCGCCAAGTACGAGTTTAACACTTAGATTTTAACATATAAATGCCGGTTAGTTTCTAAAGAGTTCAATAATAATAATAACAACAATAATAATAATTTGAAGGTATCTGAATTTACAGCGGCAAAAAATATCACCCTGAATTACGTTTGATTTAACTTGCAAATAATGTGTCACGTATTAACAAAAAAACAAGTCACTTACACGGTGCAAACTAAACTTTGTCATAAACCCGTATTGTCATTAAAAAAGTGACTTACCTCGAATAAAGAGAATTGCTGTATGTTTGTTTTTTGTTTTATTTTGGTAACAATCTTATTGACCTTCATTTTGCAGAACTTATTTTTTGTTTTTGTTTTTAATTCTTACGCTTATTCTTTCTTCCTTCCCTTTAAGACTTTTATCCAATTGCTTTGTCCATCACTCTCTCTGTGCAGTTTTTCGTGTCGGCAAACCCCAGTACGACTTGCTGCGATTCGATTTCCAGGTCGGTGCCGCCGGACGGCTCCGCCGGAGGAGCCCAGACCCCCGCAGCCGTAGCGGCAGCCGCCGCCGCCGCCGCCTCCTTCTGCTGTCCCGCGCCCTACGAGAACCGGCTGCTAGGTGGGAGCCGCAGCGAGCTCAACGCGGCTGCTCTGGGCGTGTACGGTTCCCCCTACGCCGCGGCGGCCGCGGCGAGCCAAAACTACGCCAACTACTTCCCCTACGGAACAGACCCCTCCGCCGCCATCTATTCCTCTCTGGTGGGCTCACCTCTGCCTGCTTTGCACGCGCCCGAGAGGGGGGGAGGAAGGGAGGGAGAGAGGGGTGGTGGGTGAGCTTGGATGAATCGATGCATCAAGAAAAATGTGGTGACAAACTCTTAAATGCATCAGCCTTTCCTTTTATTTCACTCGGGAAAGTTCTCAGAAATGTCGGGAAAAAAATGACCCAATAAATGTCAGATAAACAATATCGTTGTAAAACTGTTTGGATAAACATTATAATTGGGAAAGTGTGTCAAAAATATCATACATAAAAAAATATTTTTCTTCAATGAAGCCACAATAACAGTCCTGAGTTACCTCATAAAAAAAACAGACAATTATCATTTGAAGATATCATGGTAAAATTAGAAAAAAAAATGTTTTAATGTTGCAGTTCATTTTAACAGTTGATGTTTTTAAGATCATAAAATTAAACCTCTGAAGTTACTTGTAACAGTAACAAGTTAATCCATAAATCTTCTCATTAATAAAACAAAGCAAAAAACTGTGTGCAAAGAAAAGTAAGTTTGCCCTCAAGTCTTCTTGTACTTCAAGAATAAATAAAAAAAAATACATTTAGATATTGGTTTTTGCTATAAATCAGTCATATAACTGAATGAACAATCACACAATTTTGAAATTGTTTCACATTATCATTGGGGTGTATGGATGTAATATAACTGATAGAACTACAAATGTGTACATTCAAAAGTTCAAAAAACATTTTTTTGGTATAATTTTACTGCAAATAATAAAGTTATCTTTTCAAATACATTTTATGTATGTGTTTTCAAACAGTCAGGACACAGCTGTTTTTTTCCATTGTAAAATGTGTTTTAAAAAGTTTCATAACATTGAAATATCTTCATTTTTGTGTGGCAGAATCCGCAGTACGACATGAAGGAGAGTGCAGGCACTTTACACTCGGGAATCAGTCAAACGGCTGCGTACTATCCGTACGACCCGTCGCTGGGCCAGTATCAGTATGACAGGTGAGGTTTTTGCCCCACTTTCTGTCCACTTTGTGTCATTTGAGCTCAGGTGAGCTCGCTTGCCAAAATCTGCTACGTTCCCACTTTTTATAAGCGAGCCGCATCGAGGTCAACGGTCGGGGGTGTTACTCGGTTACCTGGCTTCATTTAAAGCTGTATATCGACTTCAAACATGAGAGGGTGTGTAGTGTGCTGTCCTTAAACCGAATGCCTGTGTGTACAGATACGGGACGGTGGACTTTAACAGCACAGCCAGACGAAAGAATGCCACCCGAGAGACCACCAGCACCTTGAAAACGTGGCTCTATGAGCACCGCAAGAACCCGTACCCCACCAAGGGAGAGAAAATCATGCTGGCCATCATCACCAAGATGACCCTCACCCAGGTCTCCACTTGGTTTGCCAACGCTCGTCGGAGGCTCAAGAAGGAGAACAAGATGACGTGGTCGCCCAAAAACAAGGCCAGCGACGACAGGAAGGACGACATCAGCAAGAGTGACCACGACTGTCTCACCAAAGGTTTGTCCCACTTTTTTATTCAGATCTCAATACATTTTTTTGCCGTTTTTGCACATCATCATTTTGAGAAGTTATTTTTGGTCTCTGTTGGAGAAGTTAGTCTGAACTACATCACAAATTTTTGGGGGGATAGGTGGTGCAATTTTGGGGCATCTCCATGAACCGCGGAGTACAAATTTAAGCTACCCAACAAAAAGAAAAGTACAGACATCACTTTGCACATTTATTTGTGGAATTCGTTGTCTCTCGTGACCATATAGTTAGAATAAAACCACATCCAGAATGATCAAGACTGAGACTGTCTACATACTACTGTGCTACGTTTAATCATCCTCGGTAGAACAAGATGTAGCCTAACAAACACAAAAATTCTGTATTGAGCTGCACATTTTTTTGCTTTCATCTAAGTAATCTAGTTTCTCTCTTCACCGTTTGTTTTATAATGGACCACTGACCCAGAATGGTAGCGGTAGATTCCGATCTGCCGAATACTTGCGCTATCCTGCATGAACCAGGAAGTAGGCTACTGGCTAACGGACAAAAATATGCAGTTGCAAGACGAATTCATTTTCATTTTTCAAGCCTTTTGAGTTGGACAGAAAGTGTCCAGCCTCACCATGCCCGGGATAAACAGCTTATGTCGTCGTCTGTAGACCAGGATGCTGCCTGCTAGATGTGTTGCTCCAGAATTTCTTTTCTCTTTACATTGTTTAGAGTTAGAATTCAACCGTGCCTCAGATTCAGTGTTCCCTCTAAGATAGCATGCATGAGCAATTGTGCACTGCTCTGACCTTCTCGGTGCACACGGTGATGCTCGCATTACGTTTCTATACTCATTCCTTCATTTCCACAAACAGAACACCTCACCATTACCACTTCCCTAAGAGTTTCAGAGGTCATGTGACCAGAATTTCTTGTGTTTTATTAAATTACATGTTTTCCATTATTTCGGAGTGGGATGAGTGGTTTGAATTTTGTTGTTACTTGTCGACATCGTGTAACTTTGTTTGATCTCAGGTTTTGGACAGGTGTGCGAATGTACTGGCCGCCGTGTGCATGTCTGATGTTGCTTATTGTGGTCCAAGGGATGCTCAGGGAGTTTGTGTGAATGCTCACATGCATGGAAAATCAGAGGGAACGTTGCTCGGAATGCTGTTGTTCGCGTCCTTTCAACCGAATACTACATTTCATGTCATCTACTACAAACCACAAAATGGCCTTCTTGACTTTGGTGGAGGTCTGTGCTCGACTGAGGGCACACGCTTGTGCTCGTCTTCTTTGTATGATCTGTGAAAGTATGTCCTTTTATTAGCCAGTTGAAACACGTGACAGCTGAATGTTTTCTACCTATTTTGATAGCATTTTTTTTGTGTGTTCGTCACCCCTTATAAATCAGTGTAGGGTGACTCGTTAATCTCAATTTGTTAATCAAATTGGATTTAGTGGCATGAGTAAACCAGTTCCTACTTTGCACTCAAAGTAAGTATGAAGCGCCGTCATTCCAGACAATCTGGCTGCAATCTGCTTGGTAGCCCGCTAGCTTGCAAGCCTGCTAGGCAGGTAGACGATTATGTTTTGCTGAAGCATACATGACCCCAAATCATGAAAAAAAAAAGTTATTAAACAACAACATAATAACAGTTGAGGGTTACATGTGTGTTGCTGCTATGCACTCAAAAACCTGAAAATTTGGTTTCATGCGGACAGTGGTATGGCTGGAAAACATTTTAGATCAAAGAGCTGCCAAAAACATTTCAATTCCGACACATATACCGACATACAGGCATGACAATGAATCCCTGCACGTACACGAGTGAGCACTCACAAATTCACAGATTTGTAATATTGTCTCTTTGCGACTTGATCCTCTGGTATTTTCTGAAAATACTCGCATTTCTTTTTTTTTTTTTTTTTTTTGTGCTCCCGTCAAAGCAATGAAGGTATTATTTTGGCATCATGATGCCAAGGAACCATGTTGAAGTGCTTTGAGGAATTTCGGTTCGACAAAGTCGTGCTTTGCTGCCACCTTGTCGATTATGTTGAAGTATGTTGACCCTCATTTGATCTGAGTTCTCATTCCTTGTAGATTCCAGTGAGTGCAAGGAAGAAAAAGATTTGCATCTGAGCGATTTGGAGGACATGGACGAGGATGAGTGTGACAAGCTGGCTGGCGATTGTGAAAAGGTGGTCCCAGACGAGACTGTGGCACTCCCCGTCTCACCCCACAAGAGAGACTGCACCTCTGAGCTTCACTTGAATGTGTCCAGCGGCTTCCAACATGCCTTCCCCTGTGCCATCAAAACCTCCCTCCCCGCTCTTCCTGCCGACTTCCTGGATCCCGTAGCGTCCAAGACTCCGTCCTCTACGGGAACCTTGACCCTGTCTCACTTTGAAGCGTCGGACAAACCTCGGATTTGGTCTCTGGCCCGTACGGCGGCGTCGGGAATCATCCTGAGCCCGCAGCACGGTTCCGAGCTCAGGACGAGCAACTCCAGCGGGGATTGCCAGCTCCAGAGGTTGGCGGGAGCCCCCGGTATTCCCACTGAACAATGCGGGCCTATGAGAGGTCACCAGGAAGCCAATAACGTCTCCGGTACTATGAACCTTTTTCCTGAGGGCCCCGCTTTGCACTCCAAGGTCTATGGCCCAGGCAGCTTCAATCACAAAGGCCTCCAGCTGCACTGCCCGTCCTACGCTGCCCTCCCAGACACATGCCAGTATTCCACGACTGAAGGTTAACGGCATAACTTTACAACGGTAATGGACGTTTCACAAAAAGAAAAGCACATTTCTTAGAACCTTTTTTGTTTCTCGGTTGCACAGGATTTTCCAGCGCCAAAGCAACGGAGACGTCCTCAGACATCAGTCAAGTGTGTGTGACCTTGCAGGACGACAAGGTCACTGCGTTCAGGCCTGTGATGAAGAGGTGACTGCACACGCTTGAAGCATGTAAAGTGCATCTCAGTAAATTTGCATCTTGTGGAAAACATTTATTTCCATTGCTACATTCAAAAAGTGAAGCACAGATACAAAATGAAAACACTTGCAAGGAGAATTGAGAAGACACGAACACAGAACTAGCCAGGTGGTTAATGGCCAATCTGAGCTGGAATCAGAGATCCTGAGATCACTCATTAGTCCACGCCTCTTAAAGGCACACATCAGCACACAAAATACTATGTTGTAAAAACGTTTAATTTTTATGTTAGAATATGTTTTAATATTCATATTTTACAGTGCAGTGATATTTTTCTTTATTGAAAATTTCTTACAAAAACAGCATTTTCAGAGGGCTGGAATGGATTAATGGTGTATTAAATTATTCAATGGGGAAAATATTTGATATGAATGAACTGAGTGATAAACTTGCTCACAGAACAAATTTTCATGTCAAGGTATCACTGTATTATATACAGCCATTTCTTTTTTGATTATGACTTACTGGCTGACTTACTTTTAATTGACATTTTAGTGATTTTAATGACCTATTTCTTTTTTCCCCGTTTAGATGAATGGAGGCCGTTCAACAAATAGGAGGGTAATTATGCACTAATGGGCACAGGGGCCTCAGTGGGACAGTTATTAGCGCTGCACGTTGCAGTCGAAGCTATCAAGCTGTGGAACATTTTGCACAAGTTATTTTTTTCTTTTTTTATGGTGTTGAAGAATTTATGCAAAAATCATACACACAAAATAGAATTTTTGTCTGTGGCAATCGTGCATCATTTGCGAACCAATGTATTTATTTGTTTGTTTTTCATTGCGTTTTCTGCGTCCCTTTTAAGCATTCTGTTAAAAATGTGTATTGTCGTGGCGGTAAAAATGGTTGAAGATTAAGTTAAACGTTGTGTGTTGTCATTGTGTGAAAATGTGAACTGTGTTATTCCCTTTTTATAAAGAAACAAAACAAAAAAAACCTTTTTTCCCCAAGACTTTTCGATGTGTTGTGGTTATTTAAAGGGCTTTGGGGTGGGGTCGGGGTGCCTGTATTCAAACAATGCAGGATGCAGATTTGATCAAAGGTGACCGCCTCCGCTCGACGCGCGTGGGCCGAATCTATAAGTCGCAGAAGAAAGGCGTCGTCGGCGTGGTTTTAATCACCGGTGACGTTGAACGCTTTGTAGCCAAAGTGCGGCAACGCATGCCGAATGACGGCGAGTCCCCCGTGTGCTGCGCTAACTTAGCATTGTGTTCATTAAAAGGTCATTTGTAGCATCAATCCGTTCACACGGCCCATCACAGTGGCTTTGATTCAATATTAAAGGACAGAGTATTGTCAAACAGTCAAATGGTCTGCCTGTACTTTATACCGTTATTGTTGTAAGTGTTAAAAGTGCAAAAATATACATATTTTCTTTCTTTTCTTTTTTTTTAATTAATCGGTTATCGGAATTTTGTTCTGCTGTATATCAGAATCAGAAAAAAAAGTTGGGCTATATGTTATAGTTAGCGATTAATGGTTTTTGTTTATGTGACGTCACTGATCATGTTCATTTCTCATAACCAGATGAGAAAACCGATAAATGTCAATATAGATTTTACTTATGTAAATATTTGCCAGCATTCACATTTTCAAATGACAACATTCATTCAAAATCACAAATGTCCCTTCAGTGGTGAGTAAGTTTTAGAACAGACCTGCGGGTTAGTAATGTGGGCCTTTGGCGCTACCTGGTGCCCGCAAGCACCACGTTGGTAACCCCTGCTCAAAATTGTTCATCGGGGCGAATTTGAGTGTGAACATTTTGCCTATAAGACCCTGTAATTGACAAGCAACCAGTCAAGAATGCACCTTCATTTCACTTATTTGCTGAGAATCACTGCAAACAGTAGGTAGAGAAACCCTGTCAACAGCCTGGCTAAAATATTAGAAGGCATATTTGAGGGATTATTTTAGCATTAAAGGTGTCATACATTTCAGGTGAGTCATTTCGAGGTGCTGTGGTGATCATCCCGAGTGTCCTTGGCCATGATAAATCCTGGCAAAATAGATAAAAATGAGAGGTGGACCAGGGGGCGTTATAATATAGTCGGCTTACTTAGTCAGATGATTTCACCTTATTTTCCCACCGATGTTAATAACCTGTTGAGGTCAAAATAAATACACACGATTATATAATGGTGGAATATTCAAATTTAGCTGATTAGCAAACATAGTGGATGGAACAAGAATCATTTAAAGCAGGCGAGGGGAAAACCTGCAGCCATATTTTAAACGTGAATAGGAATATATTTTTTGAATACATAATAAAATTATGTATATTATGTTATTATTTTAGCTAAAGTAATGTCAACTGAAAATAAAGTGTTGTTTTACAAAGAAAAATGGAAAGAAATCCTTATTTTGGGCCCCGACCCTTTTTGCTCCAACATAACTTCAAGTCATACTTGGATAGAAGAGTTTGGTGCAGAGGAATTTCCGAGCCCTGATCTCAAACCCCATCTTACAAAGCCGTCCAACAGCACTAAAGGTGCTTACAGCACTTAAACATTGGTTGAGATGCCAATGCTAAAATCAAATGAGATGTGTACTGGCTCGTCCTTAAAATGCTAATGTTGGCCATAGAGGCTCAGCATTGTGTCAGTTATCTCGATTACAAGTCGCTGTGGCACTCCAAAGAGTCCGAACGTTACAATTTAAAAACAAATAATTGACATATCGTATTGGGATGTTTTTTTGACCCCTGCGCACAAGGCAAGGTGGTTAAACCAGACTAAGATGAGTTGGGTGTGGAAGAATCTGTGAGCCCTGACCTCAAACCCCTTCTAAAACTCAACCTAATATTGTGAGCAGCTTTAAAAGGACAAAAGATTGAGATATTTTAAGCACATTTTTAAATAGGGGTATGGGGGGTTGCACAAGAGGGGGGCGTAGTATTTGTCCGACATGTCTAATCTGAGGTCAGACATGAAATCTGTGATAAAGTTCCATGTTTCCGCATAATAAATTCCTTAGGTAGCTTCAACGCGGATAGGCAAATCTCCCCATTACACGTTCATCTTGGTAAATTACATTTTTCATATGGGAGGGGAGGGGGAGAAGAATGCTAGGCCAGAGGGAGTGTGAGTTGGGTGGGGTCTCCACCCTGCATAATCCAAAACAGATTTGCCATAATCTGAGAATGAGGCACAAATTTGCAAAAAAAGAAAAACAAGTGAGGGTAAACATGAATGCTTAAATAGGTTTGACAAAATTATTCGTCTGTGGCATCGCTTGTGAAATGTGACGGCGGACATCGGCCCACCACCATGCAGCCCACCCTGATGACATCAGTGATCTTATTGTAGGTGTCATAAACCGTGCTCTTTTCCAGCATCACAAAGCATACTGTTAGATTAAGAAGATTAGAAGGATTGCCCACTTGTTTATTTTATGGCACATGAAGACCTCTCAATACTTTGCAAAAGTCGCTGATGAGATCCAGGGTACAAAAGCTTGTACGTCAGGGGTGGGCAAAGTATGTGCACTGACCGCCCAAGGCTTGCTCCGTTCTTTAATTTACGTGATCAAAAGTCCTCTTATGTGTGTTGCATTCATTTATTCATTGTCATCTTGAAATTTTCGGGTCAAGTAATCATGTGAGGAAATAATAGAAAAAAAATATTGGGAAAATAAACAATTTTGCTTCAACGGTACAGTTCACGTTTGATTGGATAAACGAATTGGAATTAAATAGATTTGAAACGGGTGTAGCCCGACCTCTCGCCCACTGTGATGGTTTCTTAAATTAACAGTTATTGGCCAAAATGTGAAATACGTGCTCGGAGCTGGGCGTAATGTGGGAAGAAGCGTAAACTATCGGCGCATTTGTATTGGTCCCGCGAGCCGGGTCACGGAGGGGTCGCGGGCGCTAACACAATGCCTGTTTGCATGGTGTGGAGAAATGATTCATGTCCACGATGGGTTAACTTCTGACAAAGTATTGTCAGTGGCATCCATCATGACCCGTTGAGGCCTCCCGCTTAATGAGCTGGTGGCCACCGCGTACAAAGAATCGGAATTATTGTGACAGGACAGCGCCAGCCTCTCGGTCGAAATAGTAAGCCTGAGTAACAACAACAACAACAACCTCGCAAACAATCGTTTTGGCCCGAGGACTGACAAACGTGCCGGCAAAGAGGTGCCATTTGATGTGTCCCACGCCGGGCAGCTCGGGCTCTTTAAGTTCAATGTGCACCCTTCATTACATTTGCTCAATGCAATGAGGATGCCATATTGTTTGGGTTCATGTCTCTCTCCGTGGAATTTCACATTGCCGATGTCGCTACAAGGTCCCTGCTAATGAGTTTTGTCAAAGACAATTACAAGCCCGCCGGAATGAAAAGCTGGCTTTGTGCGCTTCCCGGGGTCGGATGTTCTGTAGCCTGTCTTTGACCCGCTCCTCGTGTCCCAAAACATCCCGGCCTCCATTCCCGAATCAGCGCCGGCCTCTGATCTACTCCAACACCTTTGTCTTCGTCACATTTGTCCGTCGACATGACGCTAATTGAGCGTGGCACAAATTAATGCTGGTGTGCCGCCATTTCCCAGGAACCTTGTTCTGCGTTTAAACCCCCGGCCCTCTTACGCTCTGTGGGGCATTGCCCTCCTCTGGTCCGCTATCTGACCTCCAGCAGCAAATCAGATCGTTGACAAACTCTTTATAAGTCGGTTCATAAGTTAATCAAACTAGTTGCTTATTTCTTAAGTGGGTTTAAATCAGGTGTAGCAAAGTGGCTACAGTCAAGATTTTATTTGCATTCAAAAAGTCTGAAGTTCAGCCATTTGGGTTGTCTAATTGCTAATACAACACGAAAAAAGTGGCTGAACTCAAGACTTTTTGAAGGTAAACAAATGGAACATTGTTCAAGAATGAAATCTTACACAAAAAATAGTTGCTATTTCACTTGAGAATGTTTGGAGTTCATCCACTTTCGTTGTGTAACTGCTACTGTAGCACAACGAAAGTCGATGAACTTTTTGAAGGCAAATAAACTGGGTATTCTTCAATAACCAATCAAGTCACCAGATTGCACATCACGAAAGTATGACTTTCACTTATGGAAGATCAAAGTCAATGAGACTAGATTGAGGTGACTGACTTGTCCGTTGGAGAATATTCAATTGCTCTGCCTTCAAAAAGCCTTGAGCTGCTTATTACAGTATAAATACGCAATGTGTTTTGCTGTGTGAGTGCATTTTTTTTCCTGTGAGAAGCATCTTAAGACTTTTCCAAAGGGAAGCAATGGACTGTTGTTCAAAGGCTAAATCAGTTGCCTAATCGCAACCCACCAGAGTTTGTTTTTCATGAAGACAACCGAGAGTGTCGCAAATGTCACAACCAAGCAACAGCTGAAGGCATAGGCATGGAAGGTTTGGCAATCTGTCTGTAATTGTGAAGTGTTAACAAGTTGGAAAACACAATTTGAATTTCACATGAATTTGCAACTCAAGACTTCCTGAAGGCAAAGTAAATCAATCACGTAGGCTTGATCTTAATCCAACAGTGTATGACCTTCACTTACTGAAGTCAAAAAGTAATGCAGCCAGACCTACAAACCCTGGTAAAGCTTCTCCAAGGAGGAAATATTGTGTTGTTTATTTTTTCATTAATTTATGAACTACCAATCTGCCTAGCAACAAGTGACATAAAAAAAAGTAACCAAAGGCAGATGCAGTGACGGTTTGAAGAACTCGTCATTTGTATCTCTGAAACGGTTAACAAGTTGAAGCCGCAAGTGATATTTTCCATCTGTTTTCAATTTGAGACCTTTTGAAGGCAAATATATCAAATAATTCTTATTGGCCAAGTCAGTGGCCGGATCTCAACGTAATAGAACATGATTTTTACTTACCGAAGACAAAACAGAGGACAGGAAGACTCACAAACAAGT